TAAAATACAATACAATATGATATAATATGACACGATATAATACGGTATGATATAATACGATATAATACGATACAATACAATACAATATGATATAATATGACACGATATAATACGGTATGATATAATACGATATAATACGATACAATACAATACAATATGATAGAATACAATACGATACAACACGATACAATACGATACGATATGATACAATACGATACAATAATGATACGATGCAATATAATACAATACGATACAATACAAGACGATGTGATACAATATGAAATGATACAATACAAAACAATACAATATTACAATACAATATGATTCTATACAATACGATGCGGTACGATACAATGCAATATGATATGAAACTATACAATACAAATAACACAATATGATACCATACAATATAATAGGATACAATGTGATATGAGACGAGACAATAAGATACAATACAGATTCAAATTACAATAAAAAAAACATTTTACCCAACCATGTACAATAGCTAAAAGAACAGAAATTTGACCATGTTACTCCAATTTGACCTTCACAGAAAATTAGTGTTTACTAATCCTAGATTAAAGTTAAAAGTAATGTTCTATCTTTTCATAAAAAAAAACAATGTGTTTCTAACTTTCAAAGTAAAACCCATGATCCCAACTGTTTATATGCTATGTGAAGAGATATTGTGTTTGTCTGAGGTGACGGGCTGTGAGGACTACCTTGAAAGCTCCTCCAGCTTAGATTTGGCGTAATCCAAGCTGTTTCTCTCTATATGTTCATGAGGTGTGTGGGCCAGAAGCTCATGGAGTGTAAGAATGTATCGAGGAATCTACAGACAGAAAAGAAAGCAACATTAAATTACAGAATTCACACAATGTCAAAGGAGTGAGAAGTACGACATTTAACTCATCCACAAAAAATATTACACGATATATTATACGAGCACTGATAAACCTTGACAGACTGGGGCATTTCTTAAAGCTAGGGCTCAATTTTACAGTCAGTAAAGCATGACAGGAGTGTTTCAATTCAAAGCAGACACATTTCTGCTAGGTCTGTTGGTTCTGCTGGGTTTTTAAAGTTTTGACTGGGACACATTCGTCTGAGAACATAGCAAGAAGCATTTTGGAATTTTTTTTTTACGTGACAATGAAGAGCTAACCTGGAACATGGGGTAGGTGAGAAAGGTCTCCAGAGTTCTTTCCTCACAGTCGGGCTTGGCCTCATATTGCTTCAGCAGCTTGTCAAAATCCCTGTTCTGCTTACAGTGAGCCAAGATCTGCAGGCTGTACTGGTGGTTCCTCACAAACTCCTGGTAGATGTTCAGCATGGGCAGCAGGATGTCGAAGAGGTCAGCTGTGGAAACATGGCAAATTCAACTTTACTTATTCTTTATATTTATATATTTTGAGATCACAAACAAAAGTCAGCAAAGAGCGAGGACTCTTACCCAGTACTAATGTTGGCCAACTTGCTATTCTGGCTTTCAGACCCTGGTAGAATATCTGATGTAGGAACATAATAGTTTCACTGAAATACAAAAGAATAAACAGAAATAGATAAATATAAAAAAATGAAAGCAATTTTGCAAATATCCATTTGATATTTTAAAGCTTCTTTCATTTTTCTGAGAGAATATCCAAAATTAGTGCATAGAAAGGAACCCTTTAAACTAGGGAGTGTGTTCTGCTACAATCTGCATGTCTGTCTTTTATTCATGATTATCACTTTGTTTCTGCCGCTGGCAGTTCTCTGACCGCAGCACGCGCTCTGAGCTTCTGTCCTCACTGCTCAGTTTGTAGCTCTGAGCCTGTATTTCATTACATCCAGTTCTAAAGCAGGAGGCTGTGCTCAGGAGTTCATTTCCATTGGTTTTGTACCAAAACAATAACAAACATGTTTGTGTCACACAGAAAAAAAAGCCTCTAACATCACATTTTTTAAAATTTCCTTATAAAATATAAAACGACCATAAATCATCATATAATGGTTCATAAAAAAAGGTCATAAAGAAAAGTTTTCAAGCAATGCAAAATGGCTGCTGCCAGATGCTCAGTATAGATTTTGCTTTGGAACTTGTTGCTATCAGGTTAAACTAACGAGTATTATATCTCATTAAAATGCATTTTTTCCCCTGAAAATTCTAAATTGGCCCTCAGAGGTTGTTCTTTTCCCACCACYATTCTGCTACCCTGAACAGAAACAAGTGGACAATGCAAATAGATAGAGATTTTTAAAAAATGTGGATGTTGTTTTAATGCAACTTATTTTATTAAACCAAATAATTTCTGATGCCTGAAACCAACTAAATATTTTATTTGTGGAAAAAATAACAAAATGTCAATTAAAGTTACTTTAAAACATCTGTGCTTATAGGACAAGACTTTTTTCTGGTTGAAAAAACATTTTTTGTGCAGCTCCAACACCAAACCTGTACAACTACCAGATGTGGCCTTTGTTAAATGCAACAGGCCTTTTTGTAAGCATTTTGTAAAAGAAGAGAACTACACTTCTCTGTGGACTGAATTTATTTTAAGTCGATGACTATGAAAAAAAAGACTCAATAGTGCTTTACTGCTGAAAAGCTCGTTTACCTTTAGACAGTTTGCTCTCAAAGAGGTTAAGAAAAGGTTAGATTATATTTAATGATTTGCATGGAGCAATRAAAGAAAAAATAATAAATATTAAGAACCCTGACATGTTTCTTTTCACTGTGAGGATTCATCAAGTGAATAATTAAAACCAGTTGAAGTACACGAGTTAACCCATAAYATTCTGTAAACCTCGGCAAAGACCTTTGAATAAACTTAAATATTTATAATTTAGCTTTTGTCGGTGATGTTGAATGCATGATTTGTCTTTTAAACGTCAACTTTTTAACAGTTTTTTAATGTTTGGCAATGCTGTACCTCAATGACTAAAAGTTGGCACATCCCCATGTGTGACAAAMTACTAACAACTACAAAAAATACTCTCAACATGGTTATGTTCTTCAGAAAAATCTCCACTGGACAGCTGGAGCCAACCTGTTGAGGAATATGCTGCTGACGTCATCGTGGGTGATGGGCGGCTTCTTGGAGCTGGCAGCCATGCGGAGCGGCCTCAGGAAGTTGTTGACCAGAATGTGAAGCTGCTGAACGTACTCTGCCTCCGAGTCCAACATGCTGAACACCACCTGGTTCCTCTTCCTCATGCTCTCCGCGTGAGGCGAGCGGATGTAGTCCTGGATGATGGTCTTCCACTTCCTCCTGCAGATCCAGCCTCGCAGAAAACTTTGGACCTGCAAGAAAGCAGACAGCCTGTCAACACCTCATTAAATAATTTACAGTCCCAATTCAAATAAATAAATAAATATATAAATTTCAATATAATGTTCCTCAACAAAGATTTGGRGAAATTTTGAATATCCGATCATCTACAGTTCACTTAAAAACCCCAAAAGATTAAAATAACTGGAGAAATCTTTGTGTGCAAAGAACAAGGTTGACAGTCAATATTTGGTCATCCACACATGCTGATTAAAGCTCTATCATGCAAAAAAGAAACAGGTCAAATGCTGATTTAAAATGGGCTGAAACAAAAATCTGTAAGACAAATCCAAATTAAAAATCCTATTTGAAAACCTCAAACACCACAGGGCCTGTACTAAAAAAAGACAGCAACCATCCAGCTTGTTATCAGCTCACAGTTCAAAAGTCTACGTCTCTGTTGGTATGGGGGTGCATTAGTGGCTATGTCACGGGCAGTTTATACATTTAAAAAGGCAACATCGATGCAGAAAGGCATATTCAGATTTTAGATTTTATTCTCCAGACTTCTCACCAGTTAAAAACATGACATGAGAAATCCAGCAAAGACGACCCAGGACTGTTAAACAGCTAAAATCCCACATCAGACAYAATTTACGACAACATTCTCTTCCAAAAACTCCAGCAGCTGGTCAGTGGCCCGACTTTTCCAGAATTTTGATTGTAACATGAAATGAAGCAACAAGTTGAAAGCGAAGAGTTTACCTTTTTGATCTTCTTGATTTCCGAGTCGTCCTCAGTYGGGGCGGCTGCTGGGCTGGCGTGGATCTTCTCGTTGTCTTTGAGCAGTCCGRCGATCTGTCGAGGGAAGCAACCAGAAGAAAGATCAGTCATTCCCACTCGAGCTGATCTCTTCCTCTCACCTACTGTAGCAGCATGTAAACAAATTGACTCTGAGTGTTGTCATCACAGAAACAYGAGCCTGACTAAACYGGCTTTGTTCATTTGCCTGGCATTWKGTGCTATTATTAGGAAAAGAACATAATTATGATGATTATGATTAAATGCATTTGTTTATAGGAGWAAACAACAGGAAGTTGGAAACATAAATCCAGGGTGGATTTGCACTCAACTGTTTGAATCTGGAGCTTGTCCTCTCATTTTGTTGCCACAGAKATGGCTAAGTGTCATTTTCTTTCATACAAGAGGTGCCAATACAAAGCGGAGTTCATGCATATTCGACACATAATTGGATTTGATGCGTCACATTTGCACATTAAAGTAAAATGACCATTTGATCTGAAATATCAGAGCGAGGACACAGGCCTACTGGAAGCATTGTGTCGGAAACAAGATACAAAGCGGAGAGGGGTTGGACTGAACACGACTCCATGATGAGGGCGCAGCWTTCATTTCTGTCCTCTCGCTCAGTTTACAGATATGAGGCAAACGTAATAATAACAGGCAAAATCCCCGCTTTTTTTTYCCCGTGCTGGCAAGTTAAGGCGAGAAWAAGACGCAAACAAGTSTTGGAAAGAAATGTGAGAGCAGAGCGTGAAGCAGTGGTAAAAGAGACTTATTGTGCCAGGAAGTTCTATTTACAGTAGTTCTGACTAATAYTGTGTGTGGCTGCATCACATTTACTTATCCCACCACCTAACCCAAAAAAATAGGTCACAACATGCATTTATCTAAGAAATCAGGACCCTCTTCTCAGACAAAAAAAACCCAGTCATTGATAGGGTTCATCCTATTTCTCTCTTTTTTTGCATCCTAAAAGTTTTAAACAAAGGTCTGCTCTGTTAGTGCTCAAACCAAGTCTTGCTGGTTTTAGCTCAGCATCTTTAAAAWTGTCCAATTTATAATCATGCTTGTGTTTGTTAAGGCTTCATTTGTTTTGAAAAAGCTCTACATATCAAAAATAAATGTAACTTTGCATCTAAACACCTTGAAATTGGCCTCTGTCCCTTTAAGAACCTCCTAATGTTTCTGACACTCTCAGCACATATTCACAACAATGTATCAGGGGAGCGGTGCTCTGTGGGGCGAGAGCTCAGCTGGGGACGGAGCTCCAGGGAGGAGCTTTGCATAAATAGGCAGTGCTTTGTACCAGCAAGCATTTAGGCAGCTCTGAATGGCTAGGAGATTCAGGGATTTCTCTAATGAGTCAAAGCACCTACTTCGGATGTTGTCATCCATTAAATGGACGTTATTAGCCGTTATCAGTACCATAGCATGGCTGCAGACTGTCAGCTGGTTAATATGAGGCATAAAACCCACTAAGGTTTTTAATACAATCTGCTTAATATGAGGCGTAAAACCACTAAGGTTAGTTTTAGAGAAAATGACATGGGCTACGATAAAGTAGACCTGACTCCAGCAGTAGCAGATTGTTCCATTCCAATGTATATGGCACTGGTAACCACTAGGGGGCACAGTCGGGACAGTCTGAAGCCATTCTATGGGACTGATAACCRCTAATAACGTCCATTTAATGGACTGATAACATCCGAACCGGCTGGTCAAAGCAACACTCTGAGTATGTTTTTGCTGAGGGAATGACATTATAACAACATATAAAGCTCAGAAAAGTCAATAAATTTGTTTAATGGTTTATGAGATATTTTGTTAACAGACRAACAAACAAGCCACACCCAGACATGACCTCCATTTTTCATGATGGCAGACACTGAAGGATAAATGCTTGAGGAMTTTCAGTCTAAGGTTGGAATAAAGTGGATTTGTGGCCAATTGTGCTAGATTACAATGTATAAAAATCAGAATTTAATTGCTTTAATTGTTTCTTTTAATGTAAAATTATATTAAAAAGAGTAAATATTACCTCTGACTTCAGTCTTTCAATCTCTATTTCGCCATCTTCTATCTGTTGTCGAAGTTGCTTAGCAACTGTTTTCTCYGTCTCCACAATCTGAAGCAGATGAAGATACTTCTGCATGAGAGTCTCATGCTCCGTAGCCAAGTTTCTGTAACTGTATCACAAGAAAACACACGGAGACACATACGTATGACAGCATTCTGTCTCAGTGCRGGTCTCACATCAGAAGACTCAAACGTGTTTCTGTCATATTCAAGCCCAGTTTAACGTCTCATTTACATGTCTGCAACAACGATGCTGAGGTGTGCCTTTACCTGGCGTGTGATATTGCAGCCACCCATTCATCGCAGTCTTTTACATCTTCTGTGCGCAACTCCAGAGCCTTTTGGTTTTCATGGGTGAAGCTGACAGTGAAATAATACTAAACAAACAGGAGGGAGGGAAGATATGAAGAACAGAAGCTATCAGTGACGTGACCTTTATGTTCTTACATGTAACATAATTCAGACTCTTCTTGATAAATTTAATWTACGTTGACTCGACTTCCAGCGGTTTTGGTGAAATTTTGTGTTTGCTGCGCTGCCTGAGTGCTGCAGACACCCAGCAGGTGATTTAAAACCTCACAGAGCCTGGGGAAGCCACATCTTCCTCGCCCACCAGTGCAGTTTGATGGAGCCTCCCCCAGCTCAGATTCTGGGATGTCTCTTGCTCCCAGGAGGAAATGCCATAAGACACRGAGGCTGGAGCCAAGTACAGAACTGTGCTATACCTGTTTCCTAGCAACTCTGGTCAATGTGAACAGTTGTTCACAGCTGTTTTTTTTCCCCTCTTCGTCATCTGTCTGCTGGACTTTTGAACCATTTTTGACATTAAAACATCAGCAGATTCACTGTAATTTATTCATTTTGTACAGAGGTGCTGCAGTTTTATTATTTGTAAAGTTAAATGGAATTATTGGATGAGGATGGGCTTGTTATCTTAATAAAATTATTGGTTTTACAGTGTATCTTGTACATGTGAACAATTATTAACCAATTTGATAATTTTTAAGAATTCTTAGTTAAACATAAGCCTGACTTTAAATACCCATCAATATACAGTGCTGGTCATTAAATTAGAAT